GACACGGGAAGCTTTAACTCTATTCCATCCCCCACGATACCTTCCACAGTCCGTAGGCAATACCAAACTAAGTGTCAGGAGCACTTTAGGAAACAGGGCCAAGCTGAAGAAGGTTCCAGGTGTTTCTTACACAGGCTGTAGTTTCCCTCCCTGGTCACCTTCTCACTGCGCTGAACTGTAACCAGCTCTGACAAACCTCAGAAGGACGGGTGCTGCTGAGTTACAAGTATGGTTTCTTTGTTCTGCTGTTTTATTGTGGGGAAGGAGGTGAAGGAAGATGACTACAGGGTGCCAGTATTCCCACTGTAAAGCTAACTCCAGATGGCTCATGAGGTATGAACAGGGCCTGAGCTGGAACTTGTTAGACTGAGCTGGCAAGCTGCAGAGGCACTCAAGAACTGTGCTAAAGTCACCTCCTACTCATTTCCCAGTTTAGACTGGCTTCTATAAGAAACCACCATCCCACTGAGAACAAGCCCAGACACTTCCCATCCTCTGCCATTATCTTTATTCATTCCTAAAGAGGATATTTAAGAAGCAACTTGAATTTCACCAAAATTCAGTGTAGGCAGTTTCCAGGGAGCACAACTGGCACAGGATCTATTGATAACATTCCTCCTGTGAAGAAAGCAACCAGCTGGATGGATCAAATCTCTGCTTAGGCTTCTGGAAATATGCCAACTGGAACTAAAAGTGTGTCCCAACACTTCCCAGTTGAGATATATCTATGAGGATGTGGCAGTATAAACCCATCAGGAACACTCCTGAGCCACACCAGACACAGTTAATATGTTTTATCATCCTTACTCAGTCAAGCTCTTCAATCTAACCTTTGTGAGGGCTCCACAACATCACTTATGAATAGTCACTCACCTGATTCTTGCAGGCATATGTGGTCTCATTGTTATTTGAAACACTCTTTTGAGGAGCCATTAGATTTGCAGCATGTGAAGTTTGAAGAGGTTTCATAACAGCAGCACCTGGGACAGGTAATATGGGTTTGCATTAATGAGTAGGAATCGTTTTCTCATTTATGAGTTTCTATTCACTTTAAGCATTAGAAAATTAAGAACTGATTTTGAAGACACTTCCCTTCAGAATTTTAACAGTAGCCAGGAAAATAGGGGAAAAAAGACTCAGTTTCTATGGGAAACTTCATTTCTTCAGTGACAAAACTCTCTGGTTGAGGTAAAAGACTCATCTAATCAAGCTACAGCTCCCAGGCAGGTACCTTGAGCCTCACCTTGCAAAGGAGGATTCTGAGGATCAGAGTTCTGCAGCCAGCTAAATTGCAAGAAGAGACAGTTATTGTCATTATATATAGCTGTCCCTCACACCTCCCCAGCCCCAGGAACCTTTGATTAGTCATCATACCATGTATCGCAGCACTAAAAGTATAGTCATCATACCATGAATCGCAGCACTAAAAACCCAAGGCAGTTACAGGGTGCTGATTACTGCACATGGACATATCCGTGAAGCTTGAGCTTCCAAGTAGTGAAGTTCACACCAGTATTTCCCAGGTAGGCTGCCTGAAGCAGGCAGGGCTACCCATCTTTACAGTTTAAATCTACTTAACAGACACTAGACACGAAACCAGTCAATAAACTGGTCTTCTTTCTCGGCCCTGCTTTGCTGAAGACTGGTACAGGTTTTATAGACACCCCCTCCAAAACATCCAACAGATACTGAAAGGCAAAGAAGCATTCTTAAGCTTATACCTACGTCTAACAAACCCAATCATTGCCTCAGCTGTAGCACATACACACAAGAAAAGAACACCAAATCAACGCTCCGAACAGCCCCACAGGTGAAGGATGCATCAGTTACCCATAGAGCTGCTGCAGGCTCTCCCGTGGCTGGGCCTGGTTGTGAAGTCCTCTCTGAAGGACAGCTCCCGCGTGCTGTGCCTTGCCCTCGCTGATGAGCTGCTGAGCCCAAGCAATGTAGAAGCTCGATGCCCTTGCTCCAACGCCCTGCCCATGCAGGTAGTCGAAATACTGGCAAGGAGAAGAGATGAACCCTGCCTGCGTGAGATAAAGGTGCATGAATGCTTTCAAATACATCCAAGGAAGAAGCAAACAAACCCAGTAACAATTTATTAGTTACCACCATAGGGAAGCATTGTGTTCTAAAGCAAGGCCAGATGTGACACCTAACAAGCCAAGCAGCTGAATAACAGAGTACTAAAGGTATATGCTGTCCTTCAGCAGAAAGGAGAAGTCCTCAGCGCTCCTACAGAGAGCAGCAATACATCTAAGTTCCACACCACCTCCCTGAGGGCTCCTTTTCCTCCCACAGCTCTCTGATCAGAGCTACAGAATGGCAGGACAGCTTTGCCTTATTAGGAGAGCTTAATTCTAACCCCAAAGCATACACCTACCAGCTTAATGCAGTAGTTAACAAATCTCGGATCTTCGTAGTACCTCTTCTCGCTCAAGAACATCCTTACAAGCTGCTCCAGGAGGCTGGGCAAGCGGCTCTGCTTCTCTTGAGGGGGAAGACATCCTTCTACCCACTGCGCGTACCTGAAACACACCCAAGCAACTCAGAACAACTGCTCAAACTCAGCCTTGCTTTCAAACTGGAACAGGGTAAAGTCAGGTTGGAGATAAGGCAGAAGCTCTTCCCTGTGAGGGTGCTGAGGCGCTGGCACAGGGTGCCCAGAGAAGTTGTGGCTGCCCCGTCCCTGGCAGTGCTCAAGGCCAGGGTGGACACAGGGGCTTGGAGCAAGCTGCTCCAGTGGAAGGGGTCCCTGCCTGTGGCAGGGGTTGGAGCTGGAGGAGCTTTAAGGTCCCTTTCAACCCCCACTGTTGTACTCCGTGAGGAGCCCTGCCGCGCCCAGCAGCGGTGCTGACCTGTCCCATAGCTCCAGCGGGTCGGTCCCTCGGTAGTCCCGTATCTGAGCCTCGAAGCTCCTGCAAGACAAAGGTGGGGTCAGGCCGCGCTCAGCGCAGCCCTCCCGTCCACACACACACACAGAGAGAGGCCTGGCCCAGGACACCCCACACAGCTCCGGCTGCAAACCACACCCGGGACAAAGGCCGGGGCTCCCCTCTGCACCGGGACCGGGACCGGGACCGGGACCGGGACCGGGACCGGGACCGGGACCGGGACCGGGACCGGGACCGGGACCGGGACCGGGACCGGGAGCCCCTCGGCACCCCCCCGGTGCCCCCGCCCCGGCCGCGCTCACCTCACGACACTCTCCATATTCCACCCTCTCTACCGGCTGTACGGATTCAAACTCGCCGCGCAGCTCTCCCATTGGCTGCCGAGCTCCGCCAATCACGCCCGCTTCCGCTGGGAGCCCGCCCTGTCTTTGTCACCCCATTGGGTGAGCGCGGCCCCGCCCCTGTGTGGCTGGATGGGCGCACGCAAAGAGCTGTGGTCAATGGCTCCATGTCCGGCTGGAGACCAGTAACGAGTGGTGTCCCTCAGGGATCGGGGTTGGGGCCGGTCTTGTTTAACATCTTCGTCGCTGCCATGGACAGGGGGATTGAGTGCGCCCTCAGCAAGTTTGCCGATGACCCCAAGCTGTGTGGTTCGGTTGATATGCTGGAGGGAAGGAATGCCATCCAGAGGGACCTTGACACGCTTGTGAGGTGGGCTGATGCCAGCCTCATGGAGTTTAACCATGCCAAGTGCAAGGTCCTACACCTGGGTCGGAGCAATCCCAGGCACAGCTACAGGCTGGGCAGAGAAGAGATTCAGAGCAGCCCAAGGAGAAGGACTTGGGGGTGCTGGTCCATGAGAAAATGAACATGAGCCGGCTGCAGTGTGTGCTTGCAGCCCAGAAAGCAACCGTATCCTGGGCTGCATCAAAAGGAGTGACCAGCAGGGCGAAGGAGGTGATCCTGCCCCTCTGCTCTGCTCTCGTGAGACCTCTCCTGGAGCACTGTGTGCAGTTCTGGTGTCCTCAACATAAAAAGGACATGGAGCTGTTGGAACAAGTGCAGAGGAGGCCACGAGGATGCTCAGGGGCTGGAGCAGCTCCCGTATGGAGACAGGCTGAGAAAGTTGGGGCTGTTCAGCCTGGAGAAGAGAAGCTGCGTGGAGACCTCAGAGCAGCTTCCAGTGTCTGAAGGGGGCCTATAGGGATGCTGGGGAGGGACTCTTCATTAGGGACTGTAGTGATAGGACAAGGGGTGATGGGTTCAGACTGAAACAGGGGAAGTTTAGATTGGATCTAAGGAGGAAATTCTTTCCTGTGAGGGTGCTGAGGCACTGGAATGGGCTGCCCAGGGAGGTTGTGAATGCTCCATCCCTGGCAGTGTTCAAGGCCAGGTTGGACAGAGCCTTGGGTGCCATGGTTTAGTGTGAGGTGTCCCTGCCCATGGCAGGGGGGTTGGAACTGGATGATCTTAAGGTCCTTTCCAACCCTGACTGTTCTATGGTTCTATGATAACAGTGATTTATAGTAATAAAGGCAGCCCAGGCAGGCCCAGCCTGCACCATGCACCAGGCAGTGCTCTAGGGGAGCAGGACTTAGCCTTGCTCTGCTGGAATTTACTTCCTCTGCACATACAAGTAAACAGGGAAGTTGGGAGGAAGGCCCATGGGAAGTAGGAACCCCGCCCCAAGACTCAAACAGGAACTGTGCACCCGTAGGGATGGGATCCAACACATTAACTCTCTGACAACCAGCTGGTTTTCCCTACTGCTGAATTTAATGTACAACAGCGCTGCTGGATTCAGCTGCACTGGTCCATACACGGGTATAAAAGTGCTGTAATACAAAATTCCAGTTACAAGGAGTAGGTATTTCATAACATACTGAATATGGCACCATCAGTGACTGGCACAGTCCATACACCAACGCTCCCTCTGCTTCCCTGCGAGGGTAGTTCCAGTTTCAACATATACATGAGACGTGATGCGAGATAAAGCTCCTTTACACAGTGAAGCCACTTTGGGCACCAGGTGCTCCCTCTGCTGCACGCCCTGGTCCCCACACGCATCCAGGCTGGAGGTGAGCAGCCAGGGAACGTGGCCAAGGATTAGCTCCTCCTCACCGACTGCCACGGCTGGTCCCCATCACGCTGCGCTCTCTGAGCTGGGGTGGCTGGGAGCAGGGGCAGTAGGGGCCACGTTGAGGATCTCCTCAAACGATGGGCCTTCATCCTCAAGGGGTATCTCTGCCTCGAACATGCGCTGGAGCAGAGCATCCACCGTCCTGTACCCTGCATGTGGGCAGAGAGAAGGGACTGTGAGCACCTGCCCCTGTTCTCCTGCGGGCCTTAAGGCAGCTCCCGTGTTGGACACTAACAGACACCCAAAGGGCTGGTCCCTGGCATTTTACCCCATATATTTCTAAGCACTTATCCATTACAAGACCATTGTTTTAACATATTAAGCGTTTCCATTCCCATGGGTCCTTCAGCACATCTGTAATCCCACCTTCTGCCACACCAAGAGGCATGAACTTAGGGAACTGCTAAGGAACAGCCAGAAAGCCAGCAGAAGAAAAAGCAGTTGTTAAGCTAAAGGAGCCTATAGTCACCCTGTGATCCAAGCCAGGAGGAAGGCAAAGCACATGCAGGAAGGAGGAAAGAAAACAGACTTCTCAGCAGCAGCAGGACCTCCACCGCCAAGGCAGCATCTCCAGATGCTTCAGACAGGTGTGCACAGAAGGGCTGAGGTGAAGAAGAGAAGAATTTGCTATAGAAGGAAAAAGAAACAGCAAATATGAGAGTGTTCACAGCTCTCTGAAAAGCCCCAGCTGGGTTTAAGCTGCTCTTACAGCCTGAAGGAGCAGCAGTGCTTGGGAGCTTCCCCAGAGAGGGCTATGATCAGGGCCAGTTCAGGCCTCAAACAAAACCCTGGGCACACAGCAGGGCTGCACTTACGTTTGGAGGCAATTTTGAACACCAGCCCTTTGGATGGTGGCTTTGCTCCACTGTCCCCCTCAAGGTCGTGCTCGGTGCTCTCCATGTTCTCAAGGAGCTGTTCATCCCGGAGCTCATCCCTACACAAGAAAGGCCAGAAGTTACCCATGGGAGGCACATCCTACCCAAGGAGCCCACGTGGAGCCAGCAGCAATGGATTCTCTTGGGCAGGGCAAGTACCAGTCACGGTGTTAGCCCCCAGGATCTCCTCTGTCCTCTGGGCAACAGCCCTGGGCTGGGAGAGCTCAGGGGCAGCTGCTCCCATCTAGACCAACCCTGCACAGAATCACAGCACCAATCACACTGGAAAAGCCCTTTAAGCTCACCCAGTCCAACCATTCCCTAGCACTGCCAAAGCCACCACTAACCCATGGCACTGAGAGCTTCATCTATGGTCATGATGGATTAGCAAGAGCTTTGTGGCAAGGAAAAAGAGCCTCAGCTCGCTCCTCCAGTCCCACAGCCCTCATCAATGCGCCAAGCCAGCCACATCCAGCACTACCCTCCTGGGGCTGGGGGGGGCTTACTCTTGAACTCCCATTCCCAGCTCCTGGATTTTCTGTTCAATGGCTGTTTCGACTTCACTCTTCTCGAGGGAGTACTCCACAAAGAAAGCTTCCAGAATGAATGACACAAAGATGCTGAAAGAAACCATGAGCAGAATTATATGGCAGCATTTCCTTCCTGGCATTCCCCCTCTGCCTTTGGGCATCACAGAATCCCAGACCAGTTTGGGTTGGAAGTGACCTTAAACCTCCTCCAGCTCCAACCCCTGCCATAGGCAGGGACCCCTTCCACTGGAGCAGCTTGCTCCAAGCCCCTGTGTCCAACCTGGCCTTATCAATGAGTGTTGGGGAGCTCTGCATCAGAGCAAGAGGCAAGAAGAGATGCAGCAGATTCCTGCATTGCACATCCCACCTATCTCCAAGTCACACCAGGTATGATCCTGGGACCATGAGCAGCACCCAGGCAGGAGGCTGAGCTCCTCTTCCCTCCAAAGTGGAGGGAAGCAGCCCAGTACTTACTTGACAATGATTATCACCATCACGATGTGGAAGGCAATGAAATACAGCTTTGCAGGCTGCACCGTCACGTTGGCAAACCCATTGGCAAAGAGTACAGGGGGAGTTAAGGGCCAGAGTATTACAGAACATCTTGCTGTAGAGTTGGGCTATAGGAGGAAGAACCAGGTCACACAACCCACCTTCCAAACAAAGCCCTCTGCAGCCACCATTTCTCTGTCATCTGGCACTATGTGTATGTGTGTGTAATACAAGGGGTAACTAGGGATCACCAAGCTTTATCTGGACCTCCCACCACAAAGGATATCGTGCCACTGGTTGACCACAGTGAGCTCCATCAGGACGATGAAGGACGAAGCGAAGTTGTTGAAGTTGTTCTTGCAGTATTTCCCTCTTGCAAAGAGCGAATCCTTGAGAGCTGGATTCCCACATTCCAGGGCATGAGGAGCATTCGAGTTTGCAGGGAAGAACTGGATTTTCCCATGGAATAACTCCATGCCAATGATGGCAAACACACAGTACACAACCTGGGAAGAGAAACCCCATTGCCTGCTTCTCCAACGAGCAGAGTACCAGCAGGTTTCCCAGTTCTCATAGACATGGCAAGCTGCCAAGGAGCAGCAGAGCCCAAGAGAATAGTAAGCCAAGAACTACAGCCCAAATACCTAGAAATGAAGTATTCTCAGATCATAACAGAACCTGTGTTTAGGAAGTTGGGAAATGGGTTTCTCCTTCAGCTTCTTGCCCAAACCATAGTTTGTTTCCTTAGTGTAAAACTCAGACTGCACAGAACATCCTCACTGCCCCAGGGAGCAAAGGAGGATGTCCTGCCCTGGCAGGAACCCAACCCCTTTGCACACACTTGTGCAACAACCAAGAACCAAATGGACACTTACAGTTTGAAGGCCCCAACATCCAGAGGTTTGCCCTTATCCTCTTGGAAGCAGCATGAGTGAGACTCAAGGCACATTCCTGTAAAACTGGAGTGTTTGAGCTAGGGGACCAGGGTTTCTTACCAGAGTGAGCCCACCAAATGTCAGCATTGTTGGTACGATGTTTATCAGCGTGTTCATGATGACCCGGAACCTACAGCAAAGGATTCAGGACAACACTTGCTAGGGACAGGCTCTTCTAAAGCCCACATCTGCTCGTTGTCACATCCCATCCAGCACATGTTCCCCTACATGTCCTTATAAATAAGCCTCCAGAGGCTGCAGCAACTGAGCTCATCCCAGGCTTGCTGCGAAAAGGCCTTGGGATGCTTCGTTGAGTGCTGGTGTCAACCCAAACCAGCAGAACAACTCCAAGCACTGTCTCAGCCAGCCTCTGACACAGTCCACCCCCAAACACAACTCCAACCATATCCCTATCCCATTTCTTCCTTACCTTTGAATGCTGTCAACAATCCTTATTAGCCTGAGGACCCTTAAGATGAAGACAATGTCCAGGATCTGTTGGCTGTTGTACTTTGTGGCTGAGGAAGGGAAAAAAGATGGGTTTTGTTATAGAAAATAAGCAGAGAACTGTAGAGATAAAGCATGTTCTTGTTAACTCTATTTATAACTGTATTTATAACATATATTTATATATAACATATATATTTATGACTGGGTTAGTTCTTAAAAGCCCCAGAAGAAAATCATTGTCTTGTCCGAGTGCCTCCCAAGCCCAAGGTGATGGGAAAAGACTACTCAGGACCACCAAGTCTCCCAGTGCACACAGACTGCTCAAGCTGCACTTACTCGATTTGAGGGTAGTATTCAGGATCGTTGCAGTCAAGGCAGCAAAGATGATGAGAGTATCAAACCTAGCACGAGGGAAGGCAGTGCTGTTAGAGCTGTGGTGACAGAAAACAGGCTCTGAAGCTGCCAAGTAGAATCATGGAATGGTTTGGGTTGGAAGAGAACTTAAAGCTCATCCAGTTCCAGCCTCATGCCATGGGCAGGGACACCTTCCCCCAGAGCAGCTTGCTCACAGTAACCCCTCTTCCTCACGTCTGCACCACAGACCTGCATCACCTCAAACCATGTGCAGGGTGGGAAGAGGGGAAAGCCTTGCCTAGCACACTTCCCCCTGCCCTGCCACCATCTCCACGTGCTGCTGAGTCACCTCTGAGTGAGGCAGCAGAGCAGAGAACAGCAGTCTCTGTCAGAGCCAGGCCAGGCCAGCAAGGAGCACAACGTCCCCTGACAACACATAGAATCATTTCAGTTACACCCCAGCATACAAGTCAGGCAGCCCATCTCTGCAAGAGACCCGTTTTGCAGTTCTTGGGGAGCTGAATACAATGATCCTCACACCTCCCACCACCTTGAGCCCAACCAGCAGCTCACTCACCAGTTCCAGAACTGGTTTTTGCCGAAGAATGCCCTTGGTTCGTAAGTGTACACTTTCAGAAGTATCTCAATTATATACAGAGCAAGGAAGACCCACTCAGCATAAGATATATAAGGGGTTTCCTCATCGAGAGCGATGAAGATGGCATTTATGAGAATGATCACATCGTAAGTCCACACAAATCCCCTGCAAGAAGAACAAGAGAAATGAGTTTGCCCCTCCCAAGGAGGTAAAAGTTCCACAGTTACTTCAGAGGTTCTTTGCCTCCTCCTCAAACACTGCCATTAAAGCAGCTGCCTTCATGCATCCCCAAACCTGAGGGTTTAGGAAAGTTACTGCAGTTTAGCTTTGCTCTTGAGGTCCAACTCAAAGGAGAGCACAAGCCTTCGAGGTACACCCGTGTCAGTGCTCTGTGTTAAACTGAGACCAGCTGCGTTTCCAACGAGCCAAGCAGCATTTCCCAAGCAGAAAGCCTAGTTGAGTAAACCAGAAGGCTATGCACAAGTAGGAGGAGTGGCTGGGACACTGTGCTAGAGCCCTGGAAGGTTGGGAAGCTGGGCAGAGAGGAATGCCACCATGTTCAAAGGGAAATGCAAAGCTCTGCTCCTAGGCAGGAGTAACCTCAGGCACCAGTGCAGGCGGGGGTCAAGCATCTGAAAGGCAGCACTGCAGGGATCGGATAGGACTCGGTTGTGAGGTTGAACATGAGCCAGGAATGCACCCTGCTGGCAGAGAAAGCCAACAGCATCCCAGGCTACACTAGGAAGTGTTAACTGCGATAGGGAAGGGATTCTTCCCCCCTCACTTACTCTGTACTGGTGAGGGCACATTTGGAGTGCTGTGTCAATAGAGCGGCTCCCCAGTACAGAGGAGACATGAACATACCACAGTCAGTGCAGCAAAGGGTCACAAGAATGATTAAAGGGCAGGCCAGGCTGACACGTTACACGTGGAGAGAGCTGGGATTGCTCAGCCTGAAGGGGAAAAGGGTCAGGAAGAGCTCAGTGTGAATAAATACCTGATGGGAAGGTGGAGCCAGACTCTTCTCAGTGGTATCCAGTGAAAGCACGAGAGGCAAGGGGCACAAGTTGAAACAGAGGGTTTGCCATTTAAAACAGAAAGCAAGCCCTTTCTTTAAGCTGAGGGTGGGCAAACACTGGAGCAGGCTGCACAGAGGTTATGGCTACCCAACTAGAAGTAGCCTTGAGCACCCTGCTCCAGCTGGCCTGGCTCTGAGCAGTGGGGTTACACCAGACCAGCTCTAGATGTTCCTTCCATCCTCAGTGATTCTGCAGTTCTGGCAAGACTCAGCTGTCAAACCCAGCACTAGTAGCTCATAGTACCAGCTTGGTAAGAGCTGATGGAACAGCACCATGCAGCTTTGCAGCAGAGACTGCTGAGGTAAGATCACCTGTAAGTGAAGCTTAGTCTGGTCCTTCGAGGCAGGCCATGAAGCACTTCTTGCTTTCAGTAAGAGCTACTTACACCCAGCACCTCAGGCTGGAGCAAGTGGGACTGGAAGAGGTATGACTCCAACAGCCAAGTCATTACTCCACAGTACTGAAGGCAGGCTAAGAGCAGAGCTGGTCCACAGAAGACTTGAAACCAGAACCCCCACTGTTTGCTTAAATGCAGTTTGCACTTCCCAGCATGACTTTACCTTGCAGCAGCCCTGCCCTGCAGCCTGTGAGGGGTAGGAGCTGGCTGCTGCTGGTGGAGGCTCACCTGTGCCTGACCATGCTGCGCAGGAACCGGCTCACTGCTGACTGGTACACGCGGGGCATCCACTGCCCCAGGGGGTGGCTGCGGATCTTCAGGGTGATCACCTGGATATTGAGCAGATCTGCCAGTTGTACAAAGGATTTCTTGTCTGGAAAAGGGAGAGCAGCTCGCATCAGTGTGGCTGGCAAACACACACCTATACACACACGAGTTGGAGCAATCTGGACTTAATATCTGGTCATGGCAGCAGAAAATGCTCATGTCCAAAGTGGTACCAACCACAGGAGAGGCTGAACTCAGTCCTTCAGAAGCTTCTCTGCCCCATTTCTGGGGGACCTGCTCAAGCCACAGGCCAGCAACGAACACAAAGCTTTCATGATCATGACAGGCACAATCTAGCATGAGAAGACTGACCCAACACTCCTGGTATCCTGTCTCCAGCAGGAACATAGCAAGAGGCTCTAGAGGCCTGTGTGGGAAGCCACATTGCTTGGAGGGATCTGATAGCAAGGGAGGCTTTCACAGAACCCCAGCCTGGTTTGGGTTGGAAGGGAGCTTAAAGCTCCTCCAGCTCCAACCCCTGCCACAGGCAGGGACCCCTTCCACTGGAGCAGCTTGCTCCAAGCCCCTGTGTCCAACCTGGCCTTGAGCACTGCCAGGGATGGAAGCCCTGTGCTGAGAACACAAGGTCCTGCCCCCAGGCTCCTCCCCAACCCCTTGTGCCCAGCAGAGCCCCACTGCTCACCTATGAAACCCTTCTGCTCATTGTCCGAGATGCGCAGCAGCAGCTCCCGGTGGGAGTTGCTGGTATCAGGAGCCACCAGCTTGACAAGCTGCTTCCATCGGGCTTCTCTGACCACAAACTGCGCTCCCTCCTCTTCCTTCAGCAGGTTGAAGGCCTCTATCATCTTGCGGCGCTTCATGTAAGCGAGCTCTCGGATCTCATTCTGGAGAGAGGATGGGGATTCAGGCAGCTGCAGGCACCCTTTTTGTAACACACCTATTTAAATAACCTTATTGTTGTGGCACAGAGATGCAAGAGGCTCAGAGGAACACACTTGGAGTGATGCGAGGCACAAAGGGCAGCACAGGCAGTAGGGGTGATGAGAAATGCTGTTTGAGAGGCAGCCTGGAGGGATTAACAGCTCACGTGCTGCTGGGAGATGCATTGAACAACCAGAAGACAGAGGATAGTGTCTGACAGGAAGATGACAAAGGCCACAGCATCTGCATGTCCACACATCACAGAAACAAGGATGTGCCCACGCATGCTTCCCATCCATCAGTGAACACTGCCGAGATCAGGGGTGGCGATCCTCTTCTGCAGCCCTTACACCCTTGGGAAGCCTCCAGGATGACCGAGCAAACTGCTTACTGACAGAGAGCCAGTCCCATCATGGGAGCACCCAGGGACTTGCAGCTCCCACCCTTTGATCACAAGTACCAAGCTGCACATACTCAGCTTGAGCAGAAGCAGCAAGAGCTGTGATTTACTCAGACCTCCCTTTGCACTTCCTTTGCTTTAAGAGCACACGCAGTGGCAGAAGCTTGCTGTGTGCTTACAGCCAACTGAAAACAGCCTTCAGCACAGAGACAGAGCTTCTGAGCTAGGATTACACCTGTAACAGCAATAATCATAGAATAGGATGGGAAAGGACCTTAAGATCATCCAGTTCCAACCCCTGCCATGGGCAGGGACACCTCACACTAAACCATGGCACCCAAGGCTCTGTCCAACCTGGCCTTGAACACTGCCAGGGATGGAGCATTCACAGCCTCCCTGGGCAACCCATTCCAGTGCCTCACCACCCTCACAGGAGAGAATTTCCTCCTTATATCCAATCTAAACTCCCCCTGTTTCAGTTTGAACCCATTACCCCTTGTCCTATCACTACAGTCCCTAATGAAGAGTCCCTCCTCAGCATCCCTATAGGCCCCCGTCAGACACTGGAAGCTGCTCTGAGGTCTCCACGCAGCTTCTCTTCTCCAGGCTGAACAGCCCCATCTTTCTCAGCCTGTCTTCACACAGGAGGTGCTCCAACCCCTGATCATCCTCATGGCCTCCTCTGGACTTGTTCCAAGAGATCCATGTCCTTTTTATGTTGAGGACACCACAGACATGTGTCTCCTATCTGTTGCTACCTCTTGGGTCCACAGCACCATAGAGTATTTCACTGTTAAAGCTCAAAGCAGAACTCACAGCAATCCCCATATGAAAGGTGGGCCTGTGCTTGTTATTTGCAGAGCACCAGCAAAGGCAGAAAGCTGTACCCCTTGCTCCACACTTCCCAGAAGCAGCAGCTTTCCAAGAGAAAGCCAGGCATTTCCTTACAAGGTGACAGGAACAGCAAGCAGTCACTAACCACAGCTCCCTCCTCCAACATTACCTTCAGGTGCTTTTTGTAGTTGTTGTACACAACAGCCAGGAAGAGAGACATGAAGATGTAAGTGTTGACGATGACAAAGGCAATGAAGAACAGGGCATACCACGAGCTGAAGTCAAATGCTGGCATCCTAGAGAAGGGGAGAGAGCTTGCTCCTTGCTAGGCAAACAGGGAAATAAACCACAAGAGAACAGCCTTCCAGGTGGGCTCCTAAGCACCGTTTTGGATATCAAAGCTGTCAGACCACAACCAAGTTAAAAACTCTGCTTAGTTCAGCTACAGCACAGTTCCCTTCTGCTGGGTTTTCCTCCTGCTTTATCAGGCCCTGACTGAAGGGATGTAGAAAAGGAAGCTTAATCTCTGTGCTTTTGTTAGTGGGGCTCAGTTTAAGTGCAGAGATTGAGGTGATGTCTCGGTCATAAGCTGGTTATTGGCTTTTCTAAAGGCAGAGACACCTCCCAGAAAGCGAGGCTCTGGTTCAGAGCCATTTATACAGCAGATGGCTGAGGATTCATGAATCCCCTGCAGGCTGGAAAAGTAAAAGCCCTGTTGCACAACAAAGTATTCCAGATACAAAACATGGTGTTGTTCTAAGCAGAGATCCTGCCACTAGGAGCGGGACAGCAGCACTCTCAGCAGCAGGACTGCAAGCTCAGCATACATACATGACATCCGGGCTGTTTGCTGTCGTCACCAGCACGTAGAGGTCAAACACGATTTCTAGGTAGTTCCTGAAATACGGCAAGCCTTCTGCTGTCTGGAGGTTCCTGGCAGGAAAAGGACAAGCTGAAGTTAAGCACAGAGCTCCCATGTCCTGCAAAGGAACCGCATGTATTGGCAATGATTGTATTCAACTAGTTGGAGCTGCCAGACTCCTCCTGCCCGAAAGGAGGACACACGTTCTCCCCACCCAGCTCTGAGCAAAAGGAGTGTTCTCACCTCTCACCAAACAGCTTCAAGGCCATGAGGGAGAACATGAGAAGGCTAAACATGAAGAGCAGGAAGACGTAGGTGATCTCTGGTAGCGTGTTGCGGATGCTGCGGAAGGCTCTCCGGATCTGACAGGGAGAAGGGAAGTGTTTAGAGGCAGAGTGGTACCTGCTTATCTCCTCACCATCCCGTCTGGATCAAGCCCCTACATAGGGACAGGCAAAGTAGGACACGGATAGCAGATGTGCCAGCTCTGCTCTGCTAAAAGCTATGTGAGACCACCAGGCCTTTCCTCCTTATGCCCCGGAGGAGATACTAGAAGGAGAGACCTTACCTCTTGAGACAGGCCATCAGAAACTCAGCTCTCACTGCAGGGGAATGCTCAGGGACAGAAGCCCATCACTCCAGGACACAAAACACATTCTTATGAGACCCAGAGTTCCACTGCACCCTCCCCACCACAGTAACTCAGGAGCAGAACAGCCTTGGGCAGCAGGGCAAAGAGGAACAAGCATCCCTGTGACAGAAGGAATCAGAGTCCAAATGCCCCCGCTGGACCAGGCATCCAGTGTGCCAGAACAGCCTGACACTGTGCTGTTTGCCCAGGAGCCTTCCACAAATAAGTAACCTGGCCCCTGAGCCCGGGAGCAGCAGTTCTTGTCTGTGGTGCTGCTCATGTGCACACTGCCTGAGGACAGCTTCTAACTCTGCTCCACCCAGGCTGGACTAAACACAGCCATGTGCTGACTGTACATGAAACATTCCAGCCCCAAGCACACTCAAGGCTCTGGACAGCCATAACTCAGCCCACGAGTACAAGGAGAAGCCTTCTGCACAGCACCCAAGCAGCACCAGCACTAACATCCCCTTTTATCCATCTCATTCTATTGCTTCAGGCCACCTCTGAAAGAAACCTTCACTCACAGGAACCTAAATGCTGCCATTTCTGCACAAACCCCCTTTTACTAAATCCCCTGTACCTCAGAAAGCAGCTGACTGTCCCAGGATAGGGCCCTGACCAGAGGTACATCCCACCAGAGCTCCTTACCTGGCGGCTCTCTGCAAAGTTCACGAGGAAGATGGGCCTCACGATTCTTGACCATCGAATGCTCCTCATGTTGTATATCCTGAGGACCCCATATATGGCCAAGTCTGTCAGGGATAACTGTGGAAAACGGGAGGAAAATTCCCAGTAGTAATGCTGGAAATGGGTCTAGAGGGTGAAGACAACAGGGTGAGCTCATACAGCACAGACACACACACACAGCAGGGTTGTGGGCCCAAGGGATGATCGATTAGAGCCCATGCACATCAGGCCTATGTTACCAGGAGAGCAACAGGAGGGACAAGGCACCTCCACATTGTGTGCTTCAACCCTGGGGGCTCCCCTAGGCCGAACTCACCAGGATTGCAACCATGATGCAGATGTTCTTGGTGTCCTTCCAGAACACATTGCGAGGGGTGACCTTAGCAAAATGGGTCAGGCGGCCAAAGAACACCAGAAGGCACAACACCTCGATCACTGAAGTGACCTGCAGGGAGAGAAGGGGCCAAGTCAGGGCAAGCAAAAGCAGCATTAACCCTCTTTGCACAGATGGGATGCTCGAGCTGGGGCACAGGCAAAGAAGAGCCACAACTAGAGTCAGTAGAAGAGTTTTCCAGTGGGTTTTCGGTTGGGGGTTTCAGAGCCTCACACATCTGGCGCTGAGCAATAGTGCCAGGCTTCCTTTTGTGGCATTCCCTGCCACAGGCAGGTTAATCCAGTAATTTGTGTTTGCTTAGGATTCAAGGAGCACATCTCACAAGCACAACAGCACACCACAAATAAAGGCTATAAAAAGTCAGTCCCAAGTGCAACACTTCACTTCTGCTTTCAGACATGAGGACAGGATCTGGGTCATGTGCAAGGCTCCAAGATACAGAAAAGCAACATCACTTTGCAGTCATGTCAGCTATTCCTGACAGCCACAATGGTTTCCATAGTCTCTGCCTGGCTCCTATACCCCTTTTTTGTCCCCATTTCAGTAGATTAAAGATAAATACCAACATCAGTTATCTCTTGACACTCCTTTGACAACCAGTTTCCAGCAAGAAACCCTTGCTTGCTCTACCAAGCAGCACAGTACTATTGCATCGCTGCTTCTACACTGAGAACTTACCAGGAAAGGGAGAGGATACACAGCAGGTTCTTCAAACAGTGCAAGGGACAGGTTGAGAAAGATGAAGAAGTAGGTGGCTGTTCGCATAATCCAATGGTTATAGAGGTAATAAAGCCTGTAGAAGGAGGGTAGAGGCACCATAAATAAAGGCTGCAGTGGACATAGCCATGAGCTCACTAAGTGCACCCTGGCAGGACAGCACATGCTGTCCCAGGCAGTCACAGAGGAGGAGGGGGAACAGCAGCACAGTTATTGCCAGCCAGGGATTTGGCAACTCATTTCCTATCTCTTCCTTACAGTGTCATGGCTGATGGATGCTACATGCGCTCTCAGGGAGCAGACACACCAGGAAGGTGGAATACAGGTACCCCTCCGTTCAGTTTAAGGCTGCAACATGTGGATTTGGTAAAGCTGCTTCCTTCCCGTAATTACCTTGTTCCTCAGTTTGAGTGCAGGCTCCTGCCAGGCCCAGGTATCCCCGTGACACCCAAACTAAGCCTGATTAGTGATCTCACATCCTTTCTTTGCAGGTTAAAGAGCAAGGAGGTAAGAAAAGCCCCCAGAGACAAGTATGGAGCTGCACAGCAAGCTGGCTTTACACACAGCTCCTGCAGCATTCCAGCCCCGACAGCAGCAAACCTCCACTGAACACCAGCAATGACCTTGAGGAGGTATCACACAGCTGCACGTGACAGTGGCTCCCCTGGGAAGTCTCAGATCTACAGGGCATGAAGGTCCTTTGCCAACAAAGGAGCTGCCAAAGGGTTATCTCAGCTGCCAAATAACCACCTGCAGGAAGGCTGCAGGGCAGGGGGTCACACATACGACATGGTATCATGCCCTTAACACCATCGGGACACCGCTATGCAAAACCTGATCATTTCTATCTGTTGTACCAAGCATACTTGGCCAAGATGATGCACACAGGCATTACAGTGATACAACAGCACAGACCCACTCAAATCCTCTGTGACAAACATCCATAACCATACCTGCGTCCCGAGACACCCAAGAAACTCCACTGGCTCAGACATAAGACTTATTTAGGGAGGGCTACAGGAGCCATTAATGCTCACTCACTGCTTTGCTGCCAGCCTGTTGCATGCCCTTTCCCTTCTCCATCAGCTGCCTTCTCTTACATTGCACACACAGCAGCCTAAAGCAAAAGTCACCTCTTTGAAGCTGCTCAGTCTCTCACCAGCAACCAAGAGTCACCAGCCCAGGCAAAACACTCCTGACTCGGGCAATTTCACTTAGCACCAATTAACATAAGCTTTTAATTACTCCTGCCCCTAGCAGCTACCCCCTTTTGAAGCACACCTGAGCAAATGCACTGCCTCGATGAGCTGAGGTTTTGCTGTGCAGTGAGTTGGTGTCACCCACTGCCAAGCCAAGGGGGCACAGCCATGACTGCCTGGCGTGAGGCATCTCCTGTACCCCTGGCACTCACACCCAGCATCTCCTCCCACACTGGGGGGGGCTGACCCAGCTTCCCAACCTCCTCCTCCCCACAGAGCACTCGCTACAGCTGCAGCCCTGGGAGATTTTGTTTGCTCTATCGAAAAACAAGTTCTTATTTCCTTTCCCATCCTCGACATGCAGATGCTCTGAGCCCCATCTGACCTCCTAAAAGGAGGATGGAGCCAGGAGGGGCTGGGCTCTGCTCCCAAGGAACAAGGGATGGGAAAAGAGGAACCGGCCTCAAGCTGCACCAGGGCAGGTTTAGATGGAGCTGAGGAACAATTCCTGCCCCAGAGGGTGCTCAGGCATTGGAACAGGCTGCCCAGGGCAGGGCTGCAGGCACCGGCCCTGCAAGTGTTCACACCCCGTGGAGACGAGGCCTCAGTGCCATGGGTTAGGGGTGGCCTTGGCAGTGCTGGGCAATGGTTGGACTGGGTGAGCTTAAAGGGCTTTTCCAACCTCATTGATTCTATGATTTCAACCTTGAACCCAGTTCCTCCTGTCCAGCCTCCTCAGCACCCAGCTGCTGAAGCCCAGGTCCCCAGCCTTTTTCTGGCTGCTGCTCTTTGGGCACAGTTATGGTTAGTTCTCCCTATGCCAGTCTGAGTGCCCCACAGCACCACACCAGCAGAGCCCTGCCGCGATGCGATGCTGCGGGTGTTTGTGGCATGCAGAGCTCCTTACCTGACCGCCTCCGGGGACGTCTTGAACGGGATATTTCTGTTGTACTGTGCATCGGACACAAACGCTGCTGCCAGCAGGAGATCCTGGGGAAAGGGGGAAACACAGACACGGGTCAGGCGGTGCTGGAGCTTGAATTAAACTCCGAGCGGACGCTCAAAGGAGGCTTTTCAGCCCAGGGCACGAGAAGCGGCGTTCAAGGGAGATGCTTTTCTCCCCAGGGCTCTCTATAGAGGCGAGAAGCGGCATTCTAACGGCGGTGCTTCTCCTCCTAGGACACTACAGAGGCAAGAAGCGGTCAGGGGATGCCGCAGCTCCGCACTCCCGCATCCCCCTCCTGTTACCCAGGTCCCATCACCCCAACCCTCCCAGGGGTCCCCCGCTACCTGCGAGGCGGCCTCCGCCATGGCGCGACAATCACTGCGCCCCCTCCCGCCGCCTTTAACGGGCCCGCCCCGGCCCCAGCCCCAGCCCCGGCCCCGGCGGAAGCGGGAGGCGGAGCCGGGGCCGGAGCGGGGCTGGGGGATGGCTCTGGAGGCGCTGCGGCCGCGGGCCGTGCGCTGGGCGCTGCTGGCCGCCTTCGCCGCCGGGGTGGTGGTGGGGTGGCAGGCGGGGCGCGCCCGCCGCCGCTTCCTGCGCTGGCGACAGCGCTGGCTCCAGCGCCGCTTGGCCGCTGCTCAGGAGCAGCTGGAGGCGGCCTGAGCCCCCCGGGGCACGGCCTCGGCCCCGGCCCGGCCGCGCTCAGTGCCCCGGAGCGGGGCTGCAGCTCGGCTCGGCTCGGCTCGGCTCGGCTCGGCTCGGCTCAGCGCGGCGCCTCGGGGCATGCGGCCGGAGGGAACCGGGTTCACCGCACGTTGATGCCAGCGGGAAGAAGCCCGTGGAAGCGGTGCTGGGAGCGGACGGCATCCATGATCCTGCCTGCCTCCGACTGCCGAGGATGCGGGAACGCCGCCGCCACACTGCCCCTTCTCAAAGGACACCGTGCGTTTGCCTTGCTCCAAGCCTGTCGCAGTCCTGCCCGCTCCAGAGGGTGCTGCTGAAGCACCCAGCTACCGACAGCCACCACGTGGATGTGTTTGCTCGTCTGGAAACGTTCCTTGCGGCCGCTTGTAACGAGGGAGGAACCGCAGTGACAGATCTCGTTATGGAAGTACACATAGGAAGTAAAACCTGCGGGACAATCGGCTGCGCGCCTTGGTCGGGTGAATGAGCAAATAAAATGAAGGCTGCTTGTGCTGTGGACTCTGCTTCTTCTAGGGCTTCGGGCAAGGAATTGCCCAGAGAGGGCTGCAGTGCATTCCTGCTTCCCATCACCAGTGAATTCCTGAAGTGTTTCCTTGTGTCTGGTAGGAGCTGAAGGATTCGCTGCACACCGCAGGCTGCTGGCTTTAACTGTGGTGTTGAACAGAGAGAGGTAAAAGTTACGGGGGAAAAGAGCCAAACCACTGCGCAGCTGCTGGTGCCGGTGGGTGCCGTTTAGTAGAGGCAGGGGGAATGATTACTGGTGAGAAGTGTGTGCGCTATCCAGCATAGGGTAGAAGCTGGCATGCCACAGCCTTACAGGTTGTTATGGGGAGGGCAGGAAGAGTTCTGCTGAGGGATGGCTACAGGACACCTGTGAGTCAGAATTATGGGATCAACCGAGTTGGAAAAGCCCTTTAAGCTCACCCAGTCCAACCCTTACCCCAGCACTGCCAAGGCCACCCCTAACCCATGGCACTGAGGCCTCGTCTCCACGGGGTGTGAACACTTGCAGGACCGGTGCCTGCAGCCCTGCCCTGGGCAGCCTGTTCCAATGCCTGAGCACCCTCTGGGGCAGGAATTGTTCCTCAGCTCCATCTAACCCTGCCCTGGTGCAGCTTGAGGCCGGTTCCTCTTGTCCCATCCCTTGTTCCTTGGGAGCAGAGCCCAGCCCCTCCTGGCTCCATCCTCCTGTCAGGCAGTTGGAGGCAGCCATCAGGTCCCCCCTGAGCCTTCTCTTCTCCATCTGAACCCCCCAGGTCCCTCAGCCCTTCCCCATCACCCCTGTGCTCCAGGCCCTGCTCCAGCTCCATTCCCTTCTCTGTCCCCGCTCCAGCCCCTCAATGTCTCTCTTGCAGTGAGGGGCCCAGAGCTGAGCACAGGATCCGAGGTGCAGCCTCACCAGTGCCCAGCACAGGGGCACAATCCCTGCCCTGGCCCTGCTGCCGCACTGGTGCTGGTACAGGCCAGGATGCTGGGGGCTTCCTGGCTGCCTGGGCACAAGCTGCTCATGTTCAGCTCCATCCCTCAGCACCCCCAGCTCCTATTCCATGGGCAGGCCCGGGCCGTGCCCGGTGGCTCCGCTGCCGGGTGAGGCCGCTCCAGCTCCCGCGTCCCGCGGTCGCCCCTCAGCGCCTACGGCTCCCGAGGTGCCGCTCGCCCAGGCAGTGACGCCATCGCTCCGCGCCGCCGCGCCCGTTGCCTAGCACCCATGTCGGCGCGGGGGGCGCGGGGCCCGTTGCAGCGGGTGCAGCGGCGGAGCCGGGAGCTGCGGGAGCAGGTACCGGGGTGGGACCGAGCAGCACGGCCCGGCCGGGGCTCGCCCCGCGGCTCACGGCCCCGCTCCTGTGTTGCAGGTGGAGGCGCTGCGGAAGGAGTGCGCGGCCCCGGCCTCGGCCCCCGGGCAGCGGGAGGCCCTTTCGCTGAGGTGAGGCGGGGCCCGGCCTCGGCCTTCCCCCGGGCTATGGCAGCGTCCCGCGGGCAGGGTGCATGGCTTGGGACCGTGTGCTGGAGAGAAACATCTCCTGGCGGCCCCGAGCTAAGCCCTGGCAAATGCAGAGCAGCTCCAGTGTCTGAAGGGGGCTATAGGGATGCTGGGGAGGGACTGTTCATTAGGGACTGTAGTGACAGGACAAGGGGTGATGGGGTCAGACTGAAACAGGGGAAGTTCAGGTTGGAGATAAGGCAGAAGCTCTTCCCTGTGAGGGTGCTGAGGCGCTGGCACAGGGTGCCCAGAGAAGCTGTGGCTGCCCCATCCCTGGCAGTGCTCAAGGCCAGGTTGGACAGAGCCTTGGGCAACACAGGTTCGAGGCATCCCTGCCCATAGCAAGGGGTTGGAACTGGATGATCTTAAGGTCCTTCCCAACCCAAACCATTCAATGATTCCCATCACCTTTGCATCAGGAGAAGGAGCAGACGGTTCCCTGCACGCACCTTTCCATTTTCCTCCTAATTCCACATGTCTCTTGCCAGCCCCGTCTCACTCGTCTGTTTTCCAGGCAGAAGCAACAGGCTGGCTGCTTCCCCAAGGGCTGAGGTAGTTTTAAGTGGGAACTTGCACATCACAGGTAATAGTCAGCAGCTCAGCTGATGTGTGCGCTTGTGTTGGCATTCACAAGCTGTGTGTGCATGGAACTGGGTGAACTTGTGCGTAAACCGGTGTGTTTCAGTGATGATGGAAGAAAACACTCTCTCTCTGCCTTGCTTTCAATGCAGATGCAAGCAGCTGAAGGAACTGGTGGATGAGAACACAACTGCTCTTCGTGACCTGAAAAAAGTAAGTACAGAGGTGAATTGGTTAATGGTTTTCTCCCAGGTTCATCCTGGGGAGTGTTCAGAGAACATCAGCCTCCATTGAGGTGGGTCAGGGCAAGACCAGGGCCAAGCACATTGCAATCCCTGACTGGCATCTCTGAGATCCTTTTATATGCTTAGTAAATGGGGAAGCAGGGTGCCACTGGGCAGGGAGGAAGACCAGCCCAGGAGGGTGAAAGCTTGGACAAGTCTGGAACATTCACTTTATAGGGGACTTTGATTCTTGAAGCAATTGGTTGTGTTGTTCACTGGAACTGTTGGAACAAGTCCAGAGGAGGCCACGAGGATGCTCAGGGGCTGGAGCAGCTCCTGTATGGAGCCAGGCTGAGAAAGTTGGGGCTGTTCAGCCTGGAGAAGAGAAGCTGCGTGGAGACCTCAGAGCAGCTTCCAGTGTCTGAAGGGGGCCTATAGGGATGCTGGGGAGGGACTCTTCATTAGGGACTGTAGTGATAGGACAAGGGGTAATGGATTCAAACTGAAACGGGAAGTTTAGATTGGATCTAAGGAGGAAATTCTTTCCTGTGAGGGTGGTGAGGCACTGGAATGGGTTGCCCAGGGAGGTTGTGAATGCTCCATCCCTGGCAGTGTTCAAGGCCAGGTTGGACAGAGCCTTGGGTGCCATGGTTTAGTGTGAGGTGTCCCTGCCCATGGCAGGGGGGTTGGAACTGGATGATCTTAAGGTCCTTTCCAACCCTAACTATTCTATGATTCTTTCTGAGGCTGATGAGCCTGCGCCTGTGGGGAACTACAATCAGAGGAAAGAAGAAGAAGAAAAGCTGTTGCTAGAACTCTCTCAGCAGCTGCAGAAACTTGTTCTTGCCCTGGATCAGGATAACAAAACAAAGAAGTCCTCAGTGTAAGTAGCTTAAACAAATACAGTTTGTGCTTCTATGGAATTAGAAACGTACCATGTGTACAGCTGAAAAGGTCTGTGAGAAACAGTTAGATTATCCCCTTTATTACCTTAACATGCAGTTAAGGAAGAAGTGCTCATGAGATGGCTCTTGTGGTGCTTGTTCTCTTGATGCAGCAGTGAACGGCTGGCTGGAATTCTCTGAGGGTGTTGATTCATGGCTGAAATACAGTGTGGCTGTTGAGGGGAGAGCATGCAGTGTGGTCATAGAATCACAGAATCAACCAGGTTGGAAAAGCCCTTTAAGCTCACCCAGTCCAACCCTTACCCCAGCACTGCCAAGGCCACCCCTAACCCATGGCACTGAGGCCTCGTCTCCACGCTGTGTGAACACTTGCAGGGCCGGTGCCTGCAGCCCTGCCCTGGGCAGCCTGTTCCAATGCCTGAGCACCCTCTGGGGCAGGAATTGTTCCTCAGCTCCATCTAAACCTGCCCTGGTGCAGCTTGAGGCCGGTTCCTCTTGTCCCATCCCTTGTTCCTTGGGAGCAGAGCCCAGCCCCTCCTGGCTCCATCCTCCTGTCAGGCAGTTGGAGGCAGCCATCAGGTCCCCCCTGAGCCTTCTCTTCTCCATCTGAACCCCCCAGGTCCCTCAGCCCTTCCCCATCATACTTGTGGTCTCTACACTTAGGGAGGAAACACCACTGGGATTTGGGAGTTTTTTCAGATCAGGACAGAGAGTAAAACAGAGGAATGACAATTCTGGATGTGGATAATGGAGAGAAGGCAGTATGTCAAGGATCTACAGTAATTTCAACAAGTTTTCTTTAAATAATAATTAAGTTTGATTTATTTTGGGTAGGGACAAACACCATCAGAAAGGTCGTCAATCAGAAGATGAAAATGAAGAAGAGGATGAGAGTGAAGATGAGGAAAGTAGTGAGGAGAAAGACACTGAAGAAGCAGAGGATGATGATGATGAAGATAAATTGTTGGATGATCCAAACATTAAGGAATGTATCGCAGTTGGGAACTTCGATGCACAGCAGGAAGG